CACTGATACTTTTTTGACTTTGTCAATGATGGTTAAGCTATGCAGTTTTTGTTATATTAGATCTGTAACCATTCAGTTTCTGCAGAGAATTTTTAATAATTTATAAAATCAGGAACAAGGTGAAACAGGATAGTTGAACACAATGTTGAAAAGAAAAAGACGAGTAGATGTAGCGGGAACCTGAGATGAGATCATTATGAGAGTGGAAAACGACCTGACTGAGTTTCTTGGCAAATGAGTGAGGAGTGGACTGAGGTGTAGTCTTGTTTGGGTATAACAGCAACAGACGATTTTTTTGCCTAGCACTGTCATTAAGATACTGAGTGGTGGTTGGGCATGGAGGCTCTTGCCTGTAATCCCAGCACTTTGGAAGGCCAAGGTGGGTGGAACCCAAGGTCAAGAATTCGATACCAGCCTGGCCAACATAGGAAAACCTTGTCTCTACTAAAAATACAAAAATTAGCTGGGCATGATGGTGGGAGCCTGTAGTCCCAGCTATTCGGGAGGCTGGGGCAGGAGAATTGCTTGAACCCGGGAGGTGGAGGTTGCCGTGAGCTGAGATCGTGCCATGTACTCCAGCCTGGGCAACGAGAGTGAAACTCTGTCTCCAAAAAAAGATACTGAGTGCTATGGTGATCCAATGGAAGTTTCTTTTATCAATCTGTTAAACAATTCAAGGGAGAACTTTAAATCTTAATTCAGTGAAGACATCTTTTAGGGAATTGAGATAATCATAAATCCAGTGGAAGTTTCTTTTATCAATCTGTTAATTCAAGGGAGAACTTTAAATCTTGATTCAGTGAAGACATCTTTTAGGGAATTGAGATAATCATAAATTTGCCATCTCACTATATTACTAATAAAGAGGGAAAGAATTTCATCTTAAAAAGTTTAGAAAGGCCAGGGGCATGTGGCTCAGACCTGTAATCTCAGGTCTTTGGGACGCCAAGGCAGGATGATCCGGATGATCCCTTCCAGCCAGGAGTTGTAGATCAGCCTGGAAAACAAAGTGAGACCCTGTCTCTACAAAAAAAAAAAAAAAAAAAAAAAAAAAGTTGGGCATGATGGTACACACCTTTAGTCCCAGCTACTTGGGAGGCTGACTGGATAGGATCAGGTGGCCTAGGAGTTCGAGGCTGCAGTGTGCTATAAACTGTGAGCATGCTGCTGTACTCCACCCTGGGTGACAGAGTCAGAGCCTGTCTCTATTTTTTTCTTTTTTGAAAAAGAAAGTTCAAATACTTAACAGACTCCTTAGTTAACAGGCTCTAAAACAAATACTTTTGCTCTTTCTGCCAAAATACCTAAATAAATAACAGAAAAGAGTAAATACATTTAGGATATACTGGTGATAGGATAGTGTTAAATTCTTTTTAATGTGAGGATATAACTTAGAAATTTACATAAACTTTGCATATTTCACCATAGTTGAGCCATACTTACTATTACTGGAATAAAGTTTTTAAAATTATTGCCATGATGTGAAATTGTTGCAGGGTGGTATGTTATGCCCATGCTGTTGCTTATAGTACCCTTGTAATTCTTATACCACTCCTTTCTCTTTTCTTAAGAAATAAGATTAACTTGTTCTTCTCAAATGTCTCAGAAGAGCATTTGATTGAGATTCTAGAACTCTTTTTCATATTATGAGAGGCTGTTTTTGATTTAAAAGATTTAAGAGTAGGTATTACCACTTTGTCTAGACTCTGGGGCATGAATTTTAAAAGTACTAAAAATAACTGGTTCTTAAATGGTTGGATCAGGCAACCGAAATTGGAGTTCTAATATTAATATCATTGATTTAAATATTGTAAAATGTCTGCCAAATACAAAGGCTTTAAAGGGTGTCCAATCTTTTGGCTTCTCTGGGCTATGGTGGAAGAAGAAGAATTGTCTTGGGTCACACATAAAATATACTAACACTAACGATAACTGATCAGCTTAAAAAAAAAAAAAAGAATCACAAAAATGTCTGATAATGTTTAAGAAAGTTTACAAATTTGTGTCGGGCCACATTCAAAGCTGTCTGGGCTGCGTGCGACTCACAGACCATGGGTTGGCAAGCTTGCTTTAGTAGAATTGATACTTTTTCTATTTATGATTTGGGTCAGGTATTATTTATCTTTACTTGTTTAGTTAAACCATCTGTTATGCTGTGTTAGTTGAAGAACCAGTTAGGAATTTCTGTCCCACTTTAGATGATTGGCTTCCTTAAAGTTGATGTTTATGGAATCCCTCAGGGCAAGGTTTGCTGCTGGTTCACAATTAAAGCTGTGTTGGTAGTTAGAGATTACTTTTGTAGGTTAACTCTAGGTATTATTAAACACTACAGAGAAAATTCTGAACAGACACAGTTGATGGCAAAACTTCCATCAGTTGGAAATTTGTGGCTGATTTCTTTTGTAAGAAACATTCTCTGGACAAGAGTACCCCCAGATCTGTTTGCCAGGTGAATCTACTGTCACTGAGGCTATATATTTTTTTAATTCTAAAAAATTATTTTAGAGACAGGATCTCACTGTTTTGCAGGCTGGAGTATAGTGGCACAATCATAGGACACTATAACCTCAAACTCTTGGCTCAAGTGATCCTCTTGCCTCAGCTTCCTGAGTAGCTTGGACATAAGCATGTACCACCATGTCTGGCTTTTTTTTTTTTTTTTTTTTAATTTTTAGTAGAGACAAGGTCTCACTACATGGCCCAGGTTGGTTTTAAACTCCTGGGCTCAAGTGATCCTCCTACCTCAGCCTTCCATTCCAGGAATACAGGCATAAGCCACCACACCTGGCCTATGGCTATAATATTTTTAACTGGCATTTACTTTGTTAAAAAATTTAAAGCATGTCGTATTCAGTAAAGTGCACAAATCTGCAGCTCAATCGATATTTATATATGTATTTATTTAAGACAACATTCCATTTTCTGTGTTTTTAAAAGCGAGCAAATATATTGGATTAAAATTTGCTTAAAAAACAATTTTTCTTATAAATGTATGTTCACATAGAAAATTGAGGTAAGAAAAAATAAGTCACTTATAATTCTACTGCCATGAACTCTAAACAATTTGATGTATAAGCATTCATTTATTATTTTCTGCATATCTAATATGTGCCAGATATTTGAGATGCTGAGCATATAGCAGTGATTACAACAGTCAAAATCCTTGCTCTTGAGGAGATCACACTTACTTGGGGGAAAGGACAATAAATAAGAAAATATGTTGTGTGTCAGATGACGATGAGTACCGTGGGGAAGAGTAAAAGAAATAAAGGGAAGAGGGAGTCCTGGAAGAGGCCTGGAAGGGGCTGTAATTTTTACATAGATTGACCAAGAATGGCTCCACTTAGAAGGTAACATTTGAGCCAAGACCTGGAGGAGACAAAGGAAGATGCTGGGCAGGCCTGAGGGAAAAGAGCACTTCAGGCAAAGGCCTTGAAGGGAGCAGTGCCTGGCATGTTTGAGAAACATCAGGAAGGCCACTGTGGCTGGAACAAAAGAGGCAAAAGACAAATGAGGTTGGACAGGGAGCAGGGGGTCGTGTCCTCTAGTTCTCCCTCCTGGCTGCATGTGAGAATTACCTTAGAAGCTCTTAAAAACCACTGATGCTGGGCTCCCCATCCAGGCCACTGATTCTGGGGGTAGAAGCTGATTTCTAATGTGTAGCCAGTGTTGAGAAACACTGGTACAGGCCTTTAGGCTTTTTTTTTTTTTTTTTTTTTTTGAGATAGAGTTTTGCTCTTACTTCCCAGGCTTGGATGCAAATGGCGCCATCTTGGCTCACTGCAACCTCCGCCTCCTGGGTTCAAGCGATTCTCCTGCCTCAGTTTCCTGAGTAGCTGGGATTACAGGCACATACCACCATTCCCGGGTAATTTTTTGTATTTTTAGTAGAGATGCGGTTTCACCATGTTGGCCAGGCTGGTCTTGAACTCCTGACCTCAGGTGATCCACCCGCCTCAGCCTCCCAAAGTGCTGGGATTACAGATGTGAGCTACCACACCCGGCCTCCTTTAGGCCATTTTAAGGACTTTGTATTTTGCTGTGAGTGAGATGGGAAGACTTTGGAGAGTTTTGAGGAATGATCTACCTGTGTTTTATTAGTTTAAAACTATATGTTAGGCCGGGCATGGTGGTTCACACCTGTAATCCCAGCACTTTGGGAAGCTGAGGTGGGCGGATCATGAGGTCAGGAGAGAGAGATCATCCTGGCTAACACAGTGAAACCCTGTCTCTACTAAAAATAAAAAAAAAAATTAGCTGGGGGTAGTGGCACATACCTGAAGTCCCAGCTACTCAGGAGACTGAGGCAGAGAATCTCTTGAACCTGGGAGGTGGAGGTTGGAGTGAGCCAAGATCACACCACAGCAGTCCAGCCTGGGTGACAGAGTGAGACTCTGTCTCTCAAAAAAAAAACCCCTGTATGTTTTTGAATGTTCTGGACATACAGAAAAGGACCCATCATCCAACCCACTTTAATAAACCATCTGCATTTTGCCATGCTGGGTTTATCCTGCCTCCCCACCCCACTTTTTTTTCCCTAGGGTATTTCAATACTAGGTTGAGTTTTGAGAAGGATCATTCTGGTCTCTGTGCTGAGAGAAGGGGAGACAGAGCAAGGGCTGAAATGTTTCTTCCATGTATATTTTTCTTATGCTTTAGAGACACATTTTTATGCAGTATCTACTAATTTATAAACTATTTTCTTTACTGGACATTTTATGTCACTGGATATGCTACAACTTTGTTTTCTCATGGCTATATAATGGCTTTTGATATGCATTGCCAAGATGTTTTCTGGAAAGACTTTACTAATTTATACTCCCACCAGCTGCTTTGGAAAGTGTCAGATTTCCTTAAGCTCTCACTAACATTGAATTCTACCATTTAAAATGTTTTCTATTTTGACAAGTAAAAAAAGATCATTCATGGTTTTCATTTTAGTTCTTTGATGTCCAGTAAGGTTTAATTCCATTTTTATCTGCATTAAACACGAGGCTTCCCCCTTTTTAAAAGCACTCAATGGGCCTGTGGCTAATGACCTATTGAGCCGTCAAGAAAGGGGAGAATGAAAACACCGCTTTTGGGTGAAGTGGCAGCATGTTGTGTTGTTTTTGCTTCAATCAGTGGTGTGACAAGGTGTTAAAAAAGAAAAAGAGGCTTATATCATTTGCTAGCTGTGTGACTTGAAGTCACTCAGGAACCCTGTTTTCATACTGTAAGATGGGTGGTGTGTATCTGCTTCATAGAATTTTCATGAATATTAAATAGAAGCATTTCATATGCCCAGGTCTTTAACCTTTTGACCATAATCTGCAGTTAAAAAAAAATTCATCTTACATTGTGACAAGCATATATAAATATGTGGCTGAAAGTTTCTTGGAACAACATACATGTCCTCACCAAGTATGGTACACTTCTGATAGTTCACATTTTCATTCACTTTTAAAAATACCCCTTGTTAACCACTAAATTGATCATGACTCCCTGAGCTGTGACCTAGGGTTTGAAAAACCCTGTAGTAAATTTGTTTTGTTAAGGTACCCGTTTGTCTATAGGATTACCTCTCTCAGGTAGCTCAGAAGTCAGTCTCTCTCTACTTGTAATAAAACTCACTTTCAGAAAAGCCAATAGGGAAAAAGCCTCCCACTTAGCTTATTGTATTCCTGTATCGTATTTTTGGTTGGCGAAAAATGTTAATTGCTTTTCACAGTCAGAAAATGTATTTGGGTTTCTTTGATGGCATGATGACTGGGTTGTATTAACATCAGTTTTATGAAATAGATTGAATGCATCTAAGCACAAACAGTGTATCACTACAGGGATTATATTTGCAAGACCCCAAATTGAGGCATTATCTAACAAAATACTTTTGTCTATAGTTTTTGTTACATGAAAAGCTGACAAAAATAGAAAGTAACGTGGGGCAAGGTAGCTTGTGTCCAAAGTCCCAGTGGGAGGTTGAGGTGAGAGGATCCCTTGAGACCAGGAGTTCAAGTTCAGCCAAGGCAATATAACCCCATCTCTTAAAAAAAAAAAAAAAGAAAAAAAAGAAAAGCATAAGCCATATTTAGGTATAGTTAATACAGTCTCTTTTCAACAACAAAAAAAATATGAAATCTGGAATAATCTCAGGAAATTGAGACTATATGACTACTACCATACATAAAATAACAGATGCTATTCATTGGTAGACTTATAGCTAGATGACTTGAGGACCACGCAGAAAAGACTTAGCCAGCTGTAATTAGTAGCTGTGACTAGACAAAACTTGATCAGATGAAAGTTAAAGTCACTTTCAAGTTTCAGGGGTGTTGGATTGAAAAATGCATAGAGAAAGTGGGAAATTTACTGTTTGAAAAACACCCAGAGGTTTAACTTACTTGGCAATAGAACTGTGTTACTTTTGACCTCTATTTTAACATTAAATAGGTTTTGTATAAACTGTTTTTTGATACTGAGCCAGGAAAACATTTTAAACAGCTCTAAGTTAAAAGTTTAACTAACACGCATTTACTTACTTCTCTCCTACCTCCACCAGCTCACCCTTTCACAATGGAGTAATTTAGAGGAGTATTGGAAACATTTTAATATGGAAAAATAAAAACTAAATTTTATGCCAAAGGACCGTAATTTACCTTTATGTGGTTAGAATTTGATATATGAGATGTGGTTTGAGTGTTGAGCTTTAGATTCTGGCTTTTTCACTATTGGAGCTAAAATAAGGTTTTAAACAAGCTCAGAAATGAGTATAACAATTCATTGGGCTCAGATGGCCCAGAAATAAATGAATAGCTGCTGAAGCGCACTAGTGATCAGGGATATGCAGATTGAAACTACAGTGAAATACCATTTCATGTCCAAAATTGGCACAAATTAAAGATGTTACTTGGACATTTCCAAGTGTTGGGAGGGTGTAGTATAAAACTAATGAGTATAAATTGGTACAGGTGCTGTGACCTATGCCAATACCCTGTGACTAGGAATTCTGCTTCTAGTGTATCTCTTGCATGTGTGCACAAAAAAACCCACAGGAACATTGTTTGTAATGCTATTTTGTAACTGCAAAAATGAGAACTACCTATATGTCTGTCAGTACGGAAATGACTACAGAAAATATTGTCTAGTCCAACATTCCCCACTAGAAATACGATGTGAACAACATATGTAATTTGAAATTTACTTTTACATTTCTAGAAAGGAAGTCAAAATCAATTTTTATATATTTTGACACAGTCTATCCAAAATGTTATCTTTTTAAAAGTGATTAATATGAAAGTCATGGAGATAGAGTACATTAAAAAAATGCTAAGTCTTTGAAATCCATTTTGTATTTTGCATTTAGAGCACATCTCAATTTGGATGTTAAATGTTTATTAGAAAACTTGATCTTAATTTAAATTTTATAAAATTTCTATTGGAAAATGTAGATTCACATACCCAGGTTGTTCCTTATATACTTAAAAGCTTTTCAGACACTGACTTAGGTATCAGATAAAGTTTAAAGTAATTCGCTTTCTCAGTTGCACCAGCTGAATTTCAAATGCTCAGTGGTTAGGTAGCTAGTGGCTACCATATTGGATAGTGTAATTATAACCATAGCATGTATTGTTATGTGGCCTAGGCTGGGCATGGTGGCTTGCACCTTTAATCCCAGCACTTTAGGAGGCGAAAAAGTGGGAGGATCGCTTGAGCCCAGGAGTTTGAGACCAGCATGGGCAACATAGTGAGACCCCATCTGTACAAAGAAAAAAAAAAACCTGGACATGGTGGTGCCCATGCACCTGTAGTCCCAGCTACTCCAGAGGCTAAGGCAGGAGGATCACTTAAGTCTGAGAGGTCAAGGCTAAAGTGAGCTGTGATTATACCACTCCAGCCTGGGCAACAGGACAAAAGCCCATCTCAAAAAAACCTGGCCTATATTATATGAAGTAAAATGTGGTAGATTATTCAAATTTTGCATTGTCAATATGAACTCCTAAAGAAGTGCCGTGAGGTTTTATTGTTTGTTGTGAGCAATTTAAAATATTCACAGTAATACAGGGAATAATATACATGTATCCACTTTTCAAATTTCACAAATGTTAACATTTTGCTCAAGTATCTCTGGATCTTTCTTTTCAGTCCTGAGTTTATTAGAATATTTTTTTGTTCAGATATTGTATGGACTGAGTATCCACTCAGTTTGTAGCAGGTATAAAAGAAAAGTGTACCTAAAGAGTATTATGAATCTTCCTTGAAGGTAATATTAGCACTTAAACGGTCTTTATAACATTTCATTCGTTTTTGTTTTTTTGTTTGTTTGGTTTTTTTGAGATGGAGTCTCACTCTATTGCCCAGGCTGGAGTGCAGTGGCATGATGGTTGCTCACTGCAACCTCTGCCACCCGGGTTCTAGCGATTCTCTTGCTTCAACCTCCCAAGTAGTTGGGATTATAGGCGCCTGCCACTGTGCCTGGCTAATTTTTATATTTTTTAGTAGAGATGGGGTTTCACCATCTTGGCCAGACTGGTCTCGAACTCCTCATGATCGACTTGCCTCGGCCTCCCAAAGTGCTGGGATTACAGGCGTGAGTCACTGCACCGTGCCTTGTTGTTACTCTTTAAGTGTATTTTTATAATTTAAGAATCTTAATTTCCAAATGGAAATTTTAGATTTGATATTTTCTTCAAATACGCCAAGTAAATACTTAATGTCATGAAAGAACTATAATGCAAACAATGGTTTTTTAAAACCTTGAATTTCAGTGTTCACTTAAAGGATTAAAAGGTCAAGAAGTTCAGATCATACTTTTTTTTTCTTTTTTAAAGAGATAGGGTCTTGCTTTGTCACCCATCCTGGAGTGCAGTGGCACAAGCATAGCTCACTGCAGCCTCTAACTCCTGGGCTCAAATGATCCTCCTGCCTCAAGCCTCTTGTGCAGCTGAGACTATAGGTATGCCACCACACCCAGCTAATTTTAAAATTTTTTGTTGAGGTGAGGTCTTGCTGTTGCTCAACCTGGTCTGGAACTTGTGGGTTCAAGCTGTCCTCCCACCTTGGCCTCACAGAGCACTAAGACTGCACAGGTGAGCCACTGTGCCTGGCCAGATTATACAATTTAAAAAATCCTTCCAGAAGACATTTTGTAGCTATGGGTGTCATATTTTTAAGTCTTGATACCTCTGTTACAGCAAGGTCAGTTTAAAATTTTGTATTTGCTACAGAGTTAACTTCCAAGTTTTAAAAAACATGGACCTGCTATATTTTTGGTTCATCACTAGATGGAGTTCTTGCAGTATAACTATGTGTTGGGTAGCCATTAGTAGAAAAATCTTTGTATTTCTCAAAGTCTGTATATATAGTTCTTAAAAAAGAAGATTGTATGTATAAGCAATCAGCTTATTACACATATCATGGTAATAGGAACATACAATTTGGTAGTATGTTAGATTATGCAGTCATAATCTCTGAGTAGCATCAAAACAGGCATCTTAATGAGATTTTTCTTAGGGTAGGATTTATATTATATATGAGAAAGAGGGGGCGGTGAGATTTAAACCAGTTCTCTGATCATCATGTAAAATTTCAATTTATGTTATTAAGTTGTACAGGATAACTCTTTCTAGGAAATTCCAGGGCTTGTGCTGATGCATCTGAAGTCATGCTATGCCACTTCATAGCGGCACTGAAACTTAATTCTCCAGCCATTACCTATCAAGGTAATTGGTAATTAGTGTCTGTCTGTTCCTGGACTTACCCTTGCCATTCTCATTTTGGCCTTAACAAGTATTGTTCTCATGCCACTTCAGTCCCTCGAAAGCATGCTGAAGGTAGAATGTTTTTTGTCTTACTTTCCTGTTTACTTCAAATCAAGGAGGGTGTTTTTTGTCAGGAATTGGATGTACCTTCAGCACCTGCGGTCCTACAGTTAGGCGTATTTGGATTTCTGCTCCTCTCTTACTTGCCCTCATTCCTCAGTTGAGTTCAAACCTATTGAAATTGTCATTCTATGATTCTTTGGCAGTCTTCAGATGTAGCCCCTCAAGCATTATTTTCCATTGTTAATTGTTATGTAATTTCTTCACAGTGCCATTTTAGAAAGATATTTTAATACCTATCAAGTTTAAGAAAAATTAAACAATACTTAAAGGATAAGAA